GACAAGCTTTTAACGGTCCATGAATGCAATTTAGACGTGATTTTTTCCAAAAAAGGTTGTAAGGTAGCAAGACTTATCCTACTTGGGTTGAGCGGCAATCCCAAGTACCTTGTTGGAAAGGTTCCGAGCTTCACGCCTGTAATGTCACTCAATACCGCGCTTTCAATATCCGAGTATCCGCCGAAGAAGATCTCTGACTTTGCTGCATTCATGTCAAGTCCTGTCAGGACTTTGAAAGCTGTGAGGACCTTCGTAATACCTGTTAGAGAGTGGCGAGAGCCATCTGAAAATATGAGTAGATCATCTGCAAATAGAAGATGGGTTATCCTTGGTTCGTGGCACATAGGATGCAGGCGAATCTGACCTTCATCAACCGCTTCCTCCAACAACCGAGATAACGCTTCCATGGACATGATGAAGAGGTACGGGGAGATAGAATCCCCTTGGCGGAGACCTTTCTTCCCTGAAAAGAATCCAGCTAACTCACCGTTTATGGCAACTGAGAACCTTGGTGACGAGATACACTCCTTAACCCAAGTAACAAACAGGGAAGGAAAATCCTGAGCCTCCAAGATCTTGATTACAAAATCCCAAGATAATGTATCAAACGCTTTTCTAATGTCAACCTTCAACATACAGCTCCGAGGACAAGAAGAGGATTTATAATTTCTGATCAGCTCAGAAGCAAGAAGCACATTCTCCCCAAGGCTCCTACCTTTCAAGAAAGCAGCCTGGTTCTTCGAGATACTCTTCTGCAGAATTGGCTTCATCCTATTGGCTATAATCTTGGTCATGATTTTGTAAACCAGGTTACAACAACTGATGGGTCTAAACTCTCCAAGCTTGATAGCAGTATCTGTCTTAGGAATAAGAACGATGGTGGTAGTATTAAGATCTTTCAGCAATCTACCATTACGAAAAAATTCTTCAATGGCGGAGATAATATCAGCCCCCACCGTGTCCCAAGAAGCCCTCAGAAACTCGATACAATACCCATCAGGGCCAGGGCTTTTGTTTAGAGGCATACTATCAATTGTACCTTTAATTTCGGTAGCCAATACCTGACGCTTGAGATAAGCTTGTTGGATATCGGAACACCTAAATGGCAACAATTCTCTTAGCGAATCCACCGAAGAAGGAGACTCAGGCATCTCAGTCTCACCGAGGATATTTTTGAAATAGTCAGCCGCATGAGACTTTATTTCATCTGTTGTACCCAAGAAAGTGTCATTCTCATCCCTGAGGTAGTGAATGTGGTTCTGAGCATTTCTCTGTGTAACAGTCTTGTGATAAAATGGCGTGTTCCTATCACCAACATCAGCCCATCTGATACGTGATCGCTGCCTAAAGAACTTTTGTTCTGCGTTCAAGAGAACATTAAGTTTAGCCCTTTCTCTATGCTCCTCTACTGCAGTCACTGAATCGGGAACAGTCAACAATTGCCTTTGAAGAGCTTCAACTTTAGAAGTTTGATCCTTCACTCTCGTGGAGATTCCACTAAAGTGTCTAGTGTTGATCTTCCTCAGCTCTTTCTTCAACGTCTTCATCGTCCTGAATAATTTGTATTGGTTGGTTCCAGTTATCGACCCAGGATTCCATGCTTCAGCGACCACAGTAGGGTATTCCGGGTGATCAATGATGTGATGATAAAACTTGAAGGGTTTTCGAGAGGGTCTTCTGAGCGAGGGAACATTAAAGATGCACGCTGCATGATCTGACTGCCCAGGTTCCACAAAGTCAGCGAACGCCTCAGGGAAATGCGAAGCCCAGACTTGGTTGATGAAAGCATGGTCTATCCTCTTAGACACCGGGTTGTCATCATTATTGTTCATCCAAGTAAAAGGAACCCCTTTAGCTGGAGCCTCAAAAAGTTCAGCATCTTGAAGTGTTAAGTTCATGACATCAATCCCAGTATCATCAATAACTCTCTGAGGGTAGCCTGAATGATGAGCTAACTTGAATATTTGGTTAAAATCGCCTACTACTGCCCAAGGAGAGGACTGCATAGGAGAGACAGCGTGAACATCAATCAACTCGTTCCAGAGGGCCTGCCTCTCTCCGACACCATTGAGGCCATAAACAAAAGTGATGGTGAGATTCACATTCTCCGCCATAATATATATCCCGCAAGTAACCGCTTGCTCCGTAGCCTTATATATAAAAACAGAGACCGAAGGGTCCCAAACAACAACAATCCGTCCTGAATTATGATGCTCATAATTACCAAAAAACTTCCAACCAAATGGAATAGCATTGCGAATCCTTTCTGCATTAATACTTTGAATATGCGTCTCAAGGAAGGCACCAAAAATGGGTCTATGATTAGTAATCCAATTCTTAACAAAAGTGTGGCGTCTATCACCGTTCAGTCCTCTGACATTCCACGCAAAAAACTTCGACATAAAACCTTATTGGGGGTTTTTGGCCTTGCGGCCGCTCTTCCCTGGGTTAACTAGGAAGTAAGGTTTGTCGGGATCAGTTGAAGAATGCCCCAAATCTTTTGACTCTTCTTCAGTCTTTTCCTGATGCAAAGGTTGTCTCTTAGAGCCCCCAACGTTAATTTCAAGCGTACCTTCTTTTACTGTGTTCCTGTCCTGAGGTTCCTTAGCTTTGATAACAGCATTCATGTCCGCCGCATGAAGGTTTTCTATCAGTTCTCCTTCCTCAACATCAATTAGCTTCTCTGAACCTGAGATAGCTGGCGTCTTAGGTACAGCAGTGGGACGGCCCTGTCTGGAGCTGTTCTGAGGCTTAGTACCAACAGAGGGACTGATGGATCTCTTACGAGGAGCATTAGGCTTAGGAACATGGGTTCTGCATTTTTCCTGGAGGTGGCCATACTTCGTACATAACTCACACTTCAATGGAAGCCATGGATACGTAACCTCAATCATTGTCTCTTTCCCATTAGAAAACCCAGAGATGATCTTCCTAGGTAGAGGTTTTGTGAGGTCCACCCTGACATACAGCTTAGCGACCTTAAAATTTTCTTTTCTCTCAGTTTCTGGATATAGAGAGACGGGTTTTCCCACCGCTGTTGCTATCCTTCTCAAGCTTTCTTTGTTGAAAAGTAGATAAGGGACATTTCTAAGCTCCACCGGGACAACTGCGTGAGTTATTGGAGCTTCATCCGGTGTGAAGTCGGGAGACCAAGATGCCACAAACATTGGAAAGCCTGCAACATTCCAACAGGTACGTGATAGCAAGAACTCTCTAGTTTTGGGGTTTGTGACCTTCAGTAAGTACTCTCCTTCGCCCACATTATGGACGAAGATTCTCGGACCATTCCTTGCCCATAGAGCATTAACGACTCCGATAATGCGCCCCATTGCCGGCCAATCCCCATGAAATCTTGCATAGATGAATTCTTTAAATTCCACCTTCGCTGCGGCAATGTTCTCGTCTGGAATGAGAACAAACGGGACTCCAGTAATGTGTTCTGACGGAGTGCCCAATTCCTCTAGCTCGTCTGACGCTTTCAGAATGCTAGCATAGCTCTTTTTCTCTTTCGGTTGCTCTGTCAACACCACTGAAGGCGTTTCCATTGAATCCGAAATACAACGTTGTGGTGTCGAGTTATCAACACCTACCTCCCCACTTGAAGCAGGAGTAGAATCTTCCTTAACTGACTGTAAATTAGAAGAAAGGAGAGATGAGTCCAGATCCTGAGGAGCAGAATCCAATTGATTTGCAGCTTCATCCATGGTAACCAACGGAAGAACAGTCTGTAGAGCCACTTCTGTGACAATTGCAGCATCGGAGCATTCAGCACCGGCGATTGAAGACTTCTTCTTCAGAGAGTTAACAGAGATCGAAGGTTTAGAAACTGCTTGGAGGCGAGCCATTTTGGAGGACCCACGGAGAGCATTACGACGTTTCTTCTTAGGAGGCATTTCGAGTAGCAGAGAAAGAAGGGGGGAGAAAGAGTTCTCGTCGGGACGGCGTGAGGCCGTCTGACGGCGGATCTAGGGTTACGACCTTTCCTTATCGCCTTATCGCCTTATTTGCCTTCAACTCAAGTGGAGACCGTTTTGTTTTGAACGACTGACTTCAATTAGGTTTAAGAGTGTAGAACCAAAGGCAAACCAAAAAATATGTATATCTGATTAAGTGAATTTTGTTTTGGGTTACTTTTGAATTTGAAGCTTGTGTTTCCAAAAAAAAAAATGTTCTAGTTAGAATTTGCAACCCATATATGTTTTATTTAAGTATCATTTATAAAAAAAAAATTCAAAATAAGAAATTTGTATAAGAAAATTTAACTCTTATCCACATGCCTATCTTATGTATGGGTGCGTCCACAAATGTAGCCATCACACATTTCAAGTGGGCTATCCTTTCCCTCCAGTAATTAACTATGTGGGGAGTGAGATGTACATGCATGCGTATTTCTAGGAAATCACTTTGATATTATAGAAAAAGTAGAATATTTAGTTAACTCTTGAAAACAATTATAACAAAATATAAGAATAGAGTTCCATGTCTATATAATGTGTCTTATTTCCAATGATCGTATTCCAAAAATTGTATATAGGATCTCATAAACTCCACGTAAGAAGTGTGAACATTAAATGATGTGATTGAAATCTTGTTGACGCCTTACAAATCTGTGATTAATGTGAGCGTGACGATGATATGATACAATAATTGTTATTATTTGAATCTTTAGTTCACTAATTAACTGCATATGAAATCTATATTTTCTAGTAACCATGTTTTTTTCATCTAAAAAATATTACCACTGGCATTACGTCATTGCATATTCCGTTTTGTAAAGTTAGTTTTACTATTTCTAACTTTTATACCATTAAAAATTGATAACCTAATAGCCATCGGAAAGTAACCAAGAAGAAGATGCAATATAAAGATTACAATGTTCATAAATCAGACATTTGACAATCCGATATAACATGTCTCAAAAACAAAAAGCCAAAGAAAAAAGAAAACAGACAAATGGAAATGAAATGAGTACATATTATTAGAATGTTTTACAACACGAATTAAGCATCGGTGAAGCTTGGTGGTTTGTAGGCGATGAAACTGATACATTGGACTTGACGGTTGTTGTCGAATCCAATGATCCTGATGAAGGCGTTAGGGTACTCCTTTTTGCACTCTTGGACTTCCTTCAACACTTGAGCAGAGTCAGTGCATCCGAACAATGGAAGCTTCCACATTGTCCAGTAACGTCCATCGTAGTATCCGGGTGTGCTTCCGTGCTCACGGTAGACAAATCCGTGCTATACACATGAGAATACCATTCAAATTCAAGATTCACATGGTGTAATAAAGAATGTTTAGATCGAAGAAAACAAAACTTATGTTTTTATTACCTCCAACTCGAATTCAACACAAGGAATCCACTTGTTACGGAGAAGGTAGTCGACTTCCTTAGCCAACTCAACGTCGGAAAGGTCAGGAAGATAAGAGAGGGTCTCAAACTTCTTCTTTCCAACTGGTGGCCACACCTATAAATAACATTTCCAATCCATGAATTAAGTCACTTTTTCCTAACAAAAGAAGAAAAATGCTGACAAAAAAAAGAATTAATTCACATTTGTATATATTGTTTAGACATTTTATCGATCCTAGGAATGTTATATGCATTTGTGAATAGGATTATTGTTCGAATGTACTAGTTGTATGTAATAAAAGATATGCCTACAATTATTCTGGTGAAATTTACCTTCATGCAGCTAACTCTTCCTCCGTTGCTAGTGATTGAAGTAATGTCATTGTTGGCCTTGCGGGTGACTGGGAATGCAGAGGAAGACTTCAAGCCGGTGAATGGAGCGACCATTGTGGCTTGAGCCGGGGAGGTAACCACAGCGGCGGAGGAAAGCATAGAGGACGCCATTACTAACACTTCAACTTCTTTTTTGCTCTTTTCTCTTACTTACTTGTTTGTCTACTGTTATGGTCATCTATATATAGTGAGAACCGCAAGATGCATAAACCACTAATGATCAAAAGGATCAAGATTTCATGATATCGTCGTTAACTGCCACAGGATTAAAGAAAGGTGTAGAAATAACATTATCTTATCTTATCTTGTAAGAAAACGTATGAATGTGTATGGTTACTGGTCTCCACTTGAGCCGATGCTTTTGGCTCTTTCCTATTGAGAGAAGACAATTCTTACGCATGATCTACGGATTACTGTTCGCAGACTTTCTATTTATTGCGTATGAATTAATTTCGCTTAATATGATTAGGTTAATTATTAAATTTACTATTGAAATTACTTACGAAAAGTACTTGAATCATAAATGTAAGTTTGATCCGCGCCAACCCTGCTGGTATTTGTTTTACTTCTTTACTAGATGATATCCGCGCACATGAACGGATCGAGTTTTTTATTTTAATGTTTGTACGGTTTTAATATTTTGTAACACTATAATAGTTATCAAACTATAAAATGACGAATACAAATCTTTGTCTCTTAGATATATCATATGTTTAGGTGTTCGGGGGTCTGTTGATTTCGGTTCGACTGATTTGTTTTTCAAATTTTTGATATTATGCTCTTCAGTCTCATTCGGATTTTACTAATTATCATATCGGATTCGGTTCGTTTCCTTCCGGATTCGGTTTGGATCAGATTATAACCAAAATCTAAAATCATCCTAAAAAATATTTTTAAGTTTTACTAATTATCAGATTGGATTCGGTTTGGTTCCATCCGAATACAGTTTGGATCAGATTATAATCAAAATCTAAAATCATCCTAAAAAATATTTTTAAGTTTTACTAATTATCAGATTGGATTCGGTTTGATTCCATCCGAATACAGTTTGGATCAGATTATAATCAAAATCTAAAATCTTCCCAAAAAATATTTTTGGAACCTCAAAATCGACAAAAATGTCAAAATATTGAAATTATTCGTAAATCTAATTTAAAATTATTTAAACTATCTAAACTAATTAAAGTATATTCAAACTAAAAACAAATAAAACAAACTACAAAAAAATTTTGAATACAATAAAACATCTAAATTATTGTTTCATATAAAAAAGCATTAACATATTATACTAATTTCAGATATCTCGGACCTAGTTTGGATTTCAGTTCGGTTCGGATTATAACCAAATCCCAAAGTACTAAGACCATAAGTATTGTTCGGATAAATTATAATAGTTAAATTGAGTATTATGGAGAAACAAATATTAGACTAATGATCAAATCTCTCATTCTTCGAACAAACTCAAAAAGAAATGATTGGAATCTTGTAATGGTATTTAATAAAAGTATTTTTAAAAACAAATATAAAGACTAAACTATTTAATTTGAATGAAATAATGTATATATATAGTGCTTCCAATATTAAAAATTCACTTCGATTTCAAGAAGTGTCATTATTGGATTGCCAGGATCAAATAACATATTATAAACTAATTTAACATTGAATTTCTATACAGAAAAGTATATATATATATATATATATATATATATATATATTAGAATAAGTTCATATTTCAAAACTAGTACCTTTTGCTAGTTTACAGTTATGTTTTTGGTAAATAAATAAAAATAACCATTTTATTTACTTTATATAGTAATAATTAAACGTTATTGATATTGACATAGATAGATATAGTATATTTTAATATATCATTATTATTGATTCTTCCTACTCATATAATTTTATTAATATTTTTATATTTTTCTCTAACAAAAAATAAAATAAATCACAAACATTTTAATAGACTGTTCAAATCTGAATTTCAAAAATTAAATTATTAAGATCTCAATAAATTTTCACTGCAAATTTGAAATTAGCATATTTATATATGTTATATAGTACTTCATTGAATTTAAATGATACTGAACATTCGATCTTGCTTGAACAAAAAAAAAGTTAATATGAATATCTATTAATGAGACTTCATATTCATATGATTTATAATCATTTGTATCTTCCTTGAACAAAAAAAGTTAAACCACTGATCAATTTTTTTTTAATGTGGGTTTTCTACCCTTTTTAGTAATTTTTAGTCATTTCAAAAATTTCTAAATATAACATATAAGAAAAAGTATAATTTTTTATTATATGCTAAATGTGATTGTTTAATTACTTTTAATAATAGAAAATTAAACAAAAAGAGAAAAGATACAACAAATATGTATTATTCATAATCATTAATTGTCATATATGTATTATTCATATTAGGTAATTTTATAGCTTTTATTTAAGAATATATACAAATGATTTTAAATCATATGTAGTGGTGATGACACGTGATTAATAAAATATGTTGTAATACTCCAAAATTAATATATAGGGGATATGTATTTTTGTTTTTACTAAATGTTGTAATATATATTTATAATTTTACATGAATTACATGATTGTTATTATAATATTTTAAACATAAATATTTACCTTTTACATTGAGTGATTATATTTTTGTTTCAACTAGTGACCATATTTTTTAGAAAAAACATTATGGTGAATTCTTTGTTCCTCATATTTTTATCATTTAAGTTGAAATTTTTGTCAAATAATTGCCAGGCTGATCATATTATATTCTTCTAAACTCATCATGCAGAAATGAATTTTAAAAGAAAAGATTTCTTCTCCACTTTTGATGGAGAACAAAATGAAAAAAAAAACATAATTATTTATTCAGTTTCTGAAATGAGGTTCATTCATTTATCGGTTTGATCAGTTTTACCACTGATATTGGTATCATAAAAAGAAACTCTACATTTTTAAATAATTACACTTTTATTTATGTGAAAATCGTCGAGATAAATATTTAATGGAGAATTTGTCAAATATAATTAAAAACTTGATTTAAAATGCAAAGGTGTACCCAACTAAATCAAATGCAAAAATAATTCAAAAAACTAATGAAATTACAAACATCCTTTCATGAATAAACAAAAAACAGTATTGTAGTTTACCATTATAACCATGCGAGTGAGATGACTTTCAGAGAATGAGTTCGCATTTATCTTGTTTTTTTGCAGGTTTTTCCATTATATAATTGTCATCTTTCACTCATTTAAAGGTAGACGTATACATTTTGGATATGTATTTTTGTGTGTTTTATATATTAGATTCTAATAAGTTGTAGTGATTGTTTTAGTTATTATTTAAGCTTAAAACATAGTTTTTTGAATTTTTTTCTCTGTTTTGATGTCATTTGAATGTTTTTGGATATGCAGATTTTTCAGATCTGAGTCACACTTCGGAAGACTTTCAGAAGACTTCCAATGTGCTATAAGAATTCTGACGTAATCTTCTTCCAAATCTCCTTTTTATAACAGATCTGAGCGTTTTGGTAAGTTTTAATGTCTGATTTTTCTTATTTAGTAACTTCTTATTGCATAAAGCTCTTACTTTTTTTTCAAACTAAAATTCTCCAACCTCTATCTAATCTCTTTAAACATGAAAACACCAAACTTTATATCATTTTTTCATTTTTTCTCATGTCTTTGTTTTTGTAGGTTTTTATCACATTTTGGAGTTGTAGGGTTTTAAGATCTAAGTCAGATTTTGGAAGACTTATGTGAAATCTTCTAACATATAATGCGTCAGAAGACCTCCAGGAAGTCTTCTAACAAGTCTTCTCCTATATCAAGTGGAGTCAAACTTGTCTTTGTGCAAGAATGATATATAATAGTTTTGATGTAGTCTGTTTTGTGATTTGTAAGTGTACTCTTTAGTTATGATTTTTTTTTTTTGTAAATTTGAAGAAATAATAATAAAATATGGTAAATATGTTTATTGTCCACAATTTTATCTTGTAAAAATTACTTGACATTATTGAAGTTATTGATACAACTTAATAATACAATAACACAAAAATAGTCAAATTTATTATAATTAAGGAAGCAGTTTTGTCAAGAAAACTTAGTCAAATTCACAAAAGATCAAACATTACATAAGTTCAACTATAGAACACTTTCACTTGAAGTCTTCTAGGATGTCTTCTGGATGACTTCAGGGAAGTCTTCTTGGAAGACTTAAATTAATTTAAAGCGGGAAATTTAAGCAAGAAATTAAAATCTTAGCGGGAAACTCAAAATTTTAAGTGTGAAATTTCAATTCCATGAATTTAAAGTATATCTTAAGATCAAAGAAGGCACATTAACTATATGACTTGATATTCTTTAAGTTACTTAACACTTACGAAAATAAAAATAAAAATCTTTAAGTTACTTAACAAATTTAAAAAAACTAACATAGATTCTCGAATTAGCTAGAAATTTTAATAAACATGTATGTTGGTAACTTCATAAAGTCATCATTCAACAACCATTTTCGATAGACCATATTTAACTTACGCATCATCTGCAAAAATAAAATAAGAACACATTAGCAAACATAGAACAAAATAACTTCAAAACGTTTAACTCATAAGACTTCCAGAAGACTTTCCAGAAAGTCTTCTCTCATGAGCTAGAAACATTAATAAACATATTTGTTAACCTCTAAATTATCAACAGTTAAGTTATGAATTACATCCAGGGGCCCAAATGTTGATTAATGCACATAAATTAACAATAAAATCTTAAAAAGTCATTTTAAATTTGAAGAAAATAAAAGTTTATTATACATTGTTGTAGAAGACTTCCGAGGAAGTCTTCTACGGAAAGACTTCCTAGGTCATTTTTGCAATTGAAAATTTACAAAGGAAGAACTTCATAAAAGTCTCACCTATAGCAGACTTCTAAGGAAAACTGCCTTTGTAAATATTGGCTTACTTTTGTAATCCAAAAATTCTCAAAAATACCAGAGAAAACTTCCAGAGAAGTCAGAAATTTGACTTTCGTTGCACCGACGTAGGTTACTTTTTCAATTGACTATATTTGACTTTTGCTGAGAAGATTATGAGAGAATACTTCCCTGAAAGTCTTATGTCATTACCTTAGGTTTGACCAGAATCACAGAATAAAAATCTAGGAGATTTCCAAGTAAGTTTTTATAAAAATCTGGAATACTTCCAAGTAAGTCTTTATAAAAATCTGGAATACTTCCAAGTAAGTCTTTATAGAAATCTGGAAGACTTCTAGTTTAAACTAAATGTTTAAGTTTAAATTTTTAATAGCAAAAGTAACCTACGCATACATCCACTGACAGCAAGCAGACTTAATGTAA